TTGACCTGACTGAAACTTTTCCTTATTTCGATACTGAAATAGCAATAAAAACATAAAAAAAAAACACTTAAACTCAAAATATTTGAATTCTTATTAAAATCGTATAAAGATTAATTAGTTTCTTAAACAAATGTATAGTTTACGTAAGACCTTTAAAAAAAAATACAAATGCCTGATATTATAAACTCTGATTATTGTACTGAATTTAATTTATATTAGTATAGCTTATAACCAATTTTAAATGCTACTTTGTATAAAAAAAATTAATACTTTTTGTAGGATTTAAAGTGAGTAAAATTTAAGTTTTTTATCAAGTGTTTTGCTACGATTTTCTATCATTCATTATAAATATGTTATATTTTAATGAAGATCTAAACTATCAAAACTATGAAAGATGTGGCTAATCAAGTTATTTATGATGTCTAGACTTTTTTTCGGTAATCAAGACATTAGACCTGTAATTACTTGATCCATTTTTTACTACATACGTAACAATGATTTCACAACTTATTTAAATGACGTGTTATAACATGTGATTAGTTTTAACTGTAGATGGATTTGCTAACGTTGACGCGAAGTTATGCGTTACAGAATCTTGAAACTAATTAATGATGCTTAAAAATTATAATAAAACTCGAGATTATTAATTGCTTTAAATTAAAATTAAACGGACGCAATAGCTACTTATCTCAATTTGAATATACCAATGGAATATGATTTATTTAGTCTAATCCATGTTATTAATAAAAATTTAGTAAATAATTATGTAAAGTGACATTAATATTATACTCACGTTTTAAAATTTTATGTTTTATATAGTTTGTTTTGTGTAATATAATAATAACTTGAAATTTTATTTAAAATGTGTTAAATCAAAATATATTATTTTCGCTATCTGTCTTAATCGAATGGAAATAATATATCACTCATAATTCTCTAAAATTTCATAAGTTTTAGTCATAATTTCAATTTTAGTTAAATTAAAATATGAAATAAGTTAAATTATTTTAATAAAATATAACAGATGATATTTCATAAACAATTATTCTATACCACATAGTTTAACTTAAAAATAACGAAATTTCTTTATTAATAAATGTTTTNTAGTTTAACTTAAAAATAACGAAATTTCTTTATTAATAAATGTTTTGTTTATCATCTTCACTAAAGCTGTTGGTTGTGCAACAAAGAATAAGGAAATCCTAAAAAGTCCAGCGCAACGGAATGGAACTATAGTACTTAAATCCGAGTCACAACACGTTACCGACTGCGCTTTTTATTCAATATAGAGTCAAGTAAATTCTGTTAAAGAATAAATTATTTTTTCATGAAAGAATATCAAATGTGTATAGATCATGAATAAAAATTCTAAATAAAACACTGAGAGTTAATTAAAATAAATTTACATGATTACTTACATCGCGCACTAATATGAAAGATAACGTCAATAGACCTGGAGATTGATCTCTGCCGTTGGCCTTCTTACGAAACGATTGTCTCCGCTGTCTGTTGGTCTTCTCCAAAGCTCTTTGTTTATCAACTAGTTCTCGGTGTTTTTTGGGACTGTTACCTTCTACAGGTAAATGTTTTTCAACATAACTCTGTTGTTGATAAGCCAAATAATCGGAACTACTGATAGTAGAAGTCCTTCGGTTAACTATGGTAATTTCAGTTGGTGTAGCGGATGGCGTTGTAGAAGTAGCTTTCGAGGTGACATTTTCCGTGGAAACACTAGTTGAAGCAACAACCAAAAAAATCGCTAAATATGTAGTATATGTGATAATTGTACTAGAAGATCTTTTGGTTGACCCGTCAAATAGCAACAGTGTCATTTCTTAGTCGCCGTAACACTAAAATAAAAATATTTGTATAAGAAATTTAAGACAAAACGTGACACAGTACTTAATTTGCAATGTAGGCGTAGTTGTATTTTACGGATTATTTACGTAATCTAATTAGAACAAGTCCAATCAAATTAATAATAGAGCTTAAGTACGTTCTACAAAAATAACACTTCCGGCGGAAATGCTGTAACTTTAATTTACTCGTGTATTGTGAAGTATCAAATAAAAAACGCCATCATTTCAGAGCGCGTGAACGGTTTTACTTAAAAATAACATACTATAATGATGAATGGCGGACTTCTCGTCTAATTTAATTTTTAAATGTAAAACATTATTAAGTAAAATTACTGCAGATTAATTAGTAAATTGAAACTAGGAAACTGCATAATGCATGTTTAGAAACCTTTTTTTTTACAACAACAATAGTTAATAGAAACGCTCAGCAATGTATGAACTTTGTAGAATATTAATTTCAACGCACAAGATCATGCATTCAAAAAATCGTTTCAATTATTTTTTTTTTAGTTTGCTCCTGTGCTTTTGATATTCTATACTGGAGATAACTTAAAACATATTATTTTTCATATTATTTTACATATTATACAATAAAACATTTGACTTTGATATCGTGGAAGCAATCAATACACATATGTTATATAAAATATAATTTTAATCGTTAATTGTACTGTTTTTAAAAACATTTTCTTTGTAGGAAGTAGTGACTTTTTTTTACTCAAAGCGTTCTCTCCCTTAGAATTTGAAGCCCGTTTATAATTTAATTTTACAAATTGGAAATATAACAAAAGATAGGGACTGTTTACCGAAGCTATTTGAATTTTGCTCCAACTCTAAAAGTTCTGTATGTTTTAGTTCTAATACTTTTTAAGACTACCGGGAACTTCAACGCGTTAAATAGACGACAGATCATAGTAGAATTATATTGTCACTGTCAAATTGTAATTACAAAGTAGTTTTTAATTATTATGAAATCAAATGTTGAAGTAATGTCAATGACTAACATGTTACATCATGGACCGACGATCCTTGGTTGTAAACGCATGTAAATTATATTACAAGGTTAAGCTTCAAACAGTCCTAATTAAGTTGAATGTCCGCGATTAATACATTAACACCGTAGGGACATAATCATAAACAATGAGTTTTCCTATGAACTTAATCCATACTGGAAAAGTGTCACCTAATGAATGACAACGACGTTTAATCAATCGTCATTGAAAATCATATTTTACAAATATTTGAACTCCGATCGTGTTCGCCGTTTGTACTTTCACTTTTTATTGTGGTTCTTGTTTGTTAATACTAATATAGTAAGGTAGCTGATGTAATATTACGATTTTTACACGAAAACTAGTATAACTATAATATGTATTTTATAACAGTAATATTTACCGGCGTCACGAACGTTCCGCTTAACTATTACACGATCCCTTGAAGTTATTATTTAATTGTCAATGACAGCGGTTATTCGCCGATACCATTTAATACGATATGAAACAAGTCAATTACTATTGTTATCGATTTACGAAAGACTATTGTCATATCAAATGGATCACTTCAATAGAACGGTTTATTCGACGAACCGACCGTATATTTTAATTACACACTCCGACTGTAATTAGAAACCCCCGAGGAAGGGCACCACCAAAAGACACCGCCAGTGACACAGTTTAATCCAAAGATAGGTAAAAACAGTTTTCACCAATGGTTAC